TGTGTGTGCACAGAGAGGTTGGCCTTCCCAGGGACGTGAGGACGGGGGCCGAGAGAGTGAGTCAGAGAGAGAGAGAGAGAGAGAGAGAGAGAGAGAGAGAGAGTCTGGCCTGTCATTCTGCGGGAGGGAGAGCTGTCTCTGTCCACAGCTGCCCGCGACAAACACACTCAAAGGTCAACAAGTCCAGCGTTTGAGGACTCGTCTGGGAGATGAGTGGGTAGCAGGACATCGATAGCGCGTTCGGCCTGTGGCACACGCCCACATCTCAGCGACGCAGGAGGCTGAGGCAGGAGGATGGGGGGTTTGAGGCCAGCCTCAGCAACTTGGCAAGATCCTGTCTCAAAATAAAAATTGAAAAGGGCCGTGGCTCAGTGGTAGAGCCCCCCAGGGTCCCCCAACACACCTGTCCCCACAAAAACAGTGGCGCCGACATTTCAGCAAACTGTTAAAAGAAATGTGATTTATAGGACGTCCTGTGTGGCTACAGGATCCAAAGTGGCTCGTGTTTCAGATGAAAGGACTCCCGTTCACTTAGCAAAAGGGACGGTGGGGACTCTCAGGCACACGCCAGCGCTGGGGCCGTGTTCCAAGAGCAGGTGTCCGCAGACGGACCCGCCTGGGTGTTGACAGCCCCTGAATGCATCCTGGCCCCAGACGGAGACAGCTCAGGTGTCTGTCCAGGACATCGGCCAGTGGTGGTGTGTCCCCAAGCCAGGGACGAGCGACAGCTCTTGTTTATGAGCTCCTCAAGGACAGGCAGAGCCGTCTCAGGACAGAGGCGACCTCCAGACGGGGCAGGAGGGGTTTCTAGGGGTGGGTCGTTCTATGTTTTGTTCTATGTCCCCCAGGGGGTGGGGGACAGCGGTTGAGGTTTGTCACATCACACTGTGCATTTCACTCTATGGAATTTCCTCTCACTTATAAACGGTTTCCCACCTCCAGATCCTCACGAAGATTTCAGGGATCTTAAGAAAGGAGGGCGCGGGTCCCAAGCCAGCCCGCCTGCCCCCAGGTCCTCTCC